TTTCCTCCTTAAACTTCCAGCCATGTTTCCCAAATCTACAGTCAGCCTCAAAACTGCTCTGAGCAGATTATTCTCTAGACCAAACAATCAACTCTGTCCTAAAAGTGTAGTGTTTTAGAAACGTGTCATTTGGTTTGTGAAGAAAATGTTTGACGTTTTAGTCATTTGGTTTGTGAAGAAAATGTTTGACCTTGGATGTACACAGATAGAATTTTTCCTTTTCAACCAGGACTAAGAAGTATTTGTTTCCTCAATGGACTTCTGTACTGAAGGACAACCATTTCTGACTTATGGTAAGAGACCCGTTGTCAGCATATATAATAGTTGGCACTTTTATTGTTTACCCTCGCTGATGTAACCCTATTACTACCATTCTATATTTGACAATTTCAGCAAGAGTCTCCAGTTTTTTCTGCAGTCAACACCAAATAATGTGGGACTATAATTATGACGACCTCACAGGTTTCTGTGCAGAGTAGGAATCATCAAGTCAGTGTAGAGTGTCATCACAGCTAAGCATCCTTGCTTATATGTTCATCTCCACTGTCTAACGGCAGCCGTGGCCTGAACACATTCATTAACAGCTTCTTTATGAGCAGACACTCATGTTCAGGGGCCGCTAACTCCTACTGAAATCGTAACCGTAAAAAGGAAATCAGTATAACTATGTGCATATACTAACGATTGTTGAAAAGTTCAGCTTTATAAAAAAAAGCACAGTGATTTGTATAAAAGTAAAGGAGGCTGCATGTCACTCAATAACAGTTGATGTTTTGAATTGCAATTTAGTCTGAAGAAAGAAAATTATGAAAAGCTTCACCAAATTCATCCAAATGGACCTTTGTTGGTCACTTAAAATGTCCACTCACAGGCTGCGTCCCTCAGCTTGGTTATTATTTGTTTGGATGGATGGATGGATATATTTTCAATTTGTCAGTAAGTTGCTCATTTTATACACAAATATTTTGTGTGGGAGTTGCTAACAAAACCAGCTACAAATATCTGGTTGGGTTGCAGTGCATCCTGCTGACAGCTGCTGTTAAAGATAGGGTTGTGAAATCATTTTCATGCTTCACGCTTTCACACTAAATTGACAAACAAACCAGCATAATGTCACCGCTGTCTTTAACGCAAGATGAGGGGCGCAATTTTTAGGTAGAGCGAGCAATGTTCTCTCCAGCTCCAAACGGTTAAAATAATAAATCATGTAGGGGTTGCTTCATCTGTTAGAGAGCGTGGCGTGTGTGTGTGTGTATGTGTGTGTGTGGAGTGCTGGACGCTAGTGTTTGCATTATTTATTTATTTCGAATGGAAATTTGCATCTTGTGTTTTGTGGTGATACAGGTCAAACCACAACAAACTGCGAGCAGCGTTCTTTTTGTACTGGGATATTATGGTTTAAATAACCAACATGTCTAATATGTAAAGCATATCACACTAAATCATCAAACAAAACAGCATGGTGTCACTGTCTTCTGTCTTAAATCAAGCACTAGATCATCAAACAAAACAGCATAGTGTCACTGTCTTCTGTCTTAAATCAAGATGAGGGGCGCGGTTTTTAAGTAGAACATCCACCTCAGGTCAAAGTGGTTAAAAATGACCAATGCTGTGAAACTGTTTATGGATCGTTCTAAACACAGGATGTTGTTGTGTTTACATTACTCAGTGTCTGCAAATGGGAATTTGAATTAATAACAGCAAACTGTAAATATATTTTTTTAATAGATTGATTTTTGTCTATTTAAGTACGCTTTTTATATATATATATTGATTTTTGTCTATTTAGGTACTGTTTTGGAAACTTCATATAAGGTCAATATTTAAATCCACACAGTATGTGTTTTTTTTCTTTCTTAGTCCATTTTGTTCGGTGTTAATTCGGCTGCAGACTCGGTCTGAGTCCATTCTGTGGTGCACAGACAGAAAACACTGTGGGTGTGAAGTCCCACCGAGTCCGCACTGTTTCTGAAGCTTCGGGACACGAGGGGCGAGAATGAATGGACACAGCAGCGAGTGAAACCGAGTGGAGCCGAAAATCCTGCCCATGGACCTGAACGCGTTTTCTGCACAGATGCAGGGAGAAGCGTGACTGTGCGGGGAGAGACGCCGACTGCTCCCCCTCCTCACTCCGTCAGTGGAGGAGACTCACTGTGCACCACCAACAAACTTGAGAGGAGCTCTCTACTTGGAAAGAAACAATAAGTAGTTTTTATATCGCTGTTGTCCGTCGCTCTTTTGCACGTGCGCGGCCACATCGTGCGCCGAGCGTCGCTGACGTTAACCCCTTAGCAGCAGGACACGGGAGCCGAGTTGCCACGAATAGATCCAGTCTCCACGACCCGCGGACGGCCGAGCAGGACAGGACCTCGTGTTCCTTCGCCGGCTTT